GGGGGGGGGGGGGGGGGGGGGGAAATGCTTAACCTGGGATCTTCTCTTTGTTTAATTATGTCCGGTATTTATTATCAAATGTTTATTTATTTAATTTTGACCATATAGGAAATTTCTATATTGGTTTTTATTGGATTAAAACCAATAGGGGTCAAGTGGCTCTAAACATAGTTGAGGAGTAAAGTGCATAACCATAAAACTTCAAACAACCCACAAAACTTTAAGGGAGTTAACTATATTTCAATCCAAGTATGGATTATTCGCAGTAGTAGTAGTAGTGTCTCCACTTTCAATTTTAGTTGGTTCGAGTCAAGCTAAAATAAGTAGCGTACATTCAATTTGGATCGATTTCAAAATGATTAGTATAAAAAGGATTTTGAATACGATAACTTTTTTTTTCCAAAACAAATTCTCATTTGTTTGCACTTAATGGATATCTGAATTTTTTTAATTATTCATATCTCAAATATTAAGTGTGTTTGTTTTTAATGTCTGAATCTTAATCATTTAGGTCTTAATCATTAAGTATTTTTTTACTTCACAACTACTTAAAGCCCGTTTGGCCAACTACCAAAATCTGCTTATTTTGAAAAGTACTTTTTTCAGAAATACTTTTTTTAAAAGTACTTTTGAAAAAATATTGTTTGTGTTTGACCAATTTATTTAAGAAGTATTTTTGCAACATTTGGTAAACAAATTATGTTTGGCCAATCTTTATAAAAAGTACTTTTGAGTGTCAAATTACCAAAAACGATAGTACCAAGGTCTTATAATTCTTTTAAATAGAAAAATAAACTTAAATATTTATCGTAAGAGACTTTTATTATTATTTTATTTTATTTTATTAAAATATAAAATATAAAGTAAGCAAACATATACAGATTTAAATCAATTTTACATATATAGTTATACCAAAGTATATGATATTATCTAGTATAATTACTTATTGTTATATGGTAATTTGAATATGTCACGACCCGAAATTCCCACATTCGGGACCACGATGACGCCTAACATTTCACTTGCTAGGCAAGCCAACGTTAGAATAATATTATCCATTTTAAAATAATTTTAAACTAATTAATAACAAAGAAATAAATGCGGAAGTAAGTTTGAAATGTAGTTAATAATCCATAATAATAGCGATGTCTAAATCCCATCCTAGAACTGGAGTCACAAGTGCATGAGCTTCTAAAATGATACAAATAAGGGTCTGAATAAAATAAAGTTGTCTGAAAGCAAACACGCGGCTAAAGTAAAGTAGACGGGGACTTCAGAACTGCAGACACTATGCAGTTATACCTCAAGTCTCCTCTGGGTAGCTGAAATCCGAGCAAGTTTATGCTACACCGCTGGGACCAACTTTGAAATCTGCACAAGAAGTGCAGAGTGTAGTATCAATACAACCAACCCCACGTACTGGTAAGTGCCGAGCCTAACCTCGACGAAGTAGTGACGAGGCTAAGGCAGGTCGCTTTCAATAATAATAATAATAATAATAATAATAATAATAATAATAATAATAATAATAATAATAATAATAATAATAATAATAATAATAATAATAATAATAATAATAATAACGGGAATAGTAATAAGACCAGTAAATAATATTAATAATTAAAATCAATTCAGCATTCACAATCCCTCATCTTGTTTCCATTGCGGCGTGCAACCCATTCCCCCAAGATAAACTTTAAATAAGTCTGTTGCGGTGTGCAACCCGATCCCCCAATGTATTTACTTTCATTTCCGTTGTGGCGTGCAACCCGATCCCCCAATATATTTTAATAACTCATAAATGTAATAAAAATTACTCCAATAAATACCAAGTTCAATGAGAAACTATTAAACATTAAGGCACAATAACTATAATTTATTTATGAACAAACAATGATAATTAGCAATTAATTATGGAAATCATGGAGAAAATAGGCAGTTTAATATTTAGTATGCTACATGTCAAATAGAAATTAAGACACATAAGTCAAATAAGCATGTGACAATTATTGCAGGAATTCAAGAATTAATATTTGACAAGGAATATGAGTGAAACAATTAATATAATAATTAATTCATGATTTAAAACGATTTATGATTTTTCAAGTAATTATGCAAACAATTAATTTGACGACGTATAGATACTCGTCACCTTACCTATACGTCATACACATGCATCTCACATAACAAATAATTTAAGGGTTCTATTCCCTCAAGTCAAGGTTAACCACGGCACTACCTCGCTTTGCAACCAAATTTCAAGAATTCAATAAACATTTGCCTCGCGAATTCGTATCCGAAATCTTCAAATCTAGTCATAAACAACTCAATATACTCAATACAAATCGTAGGAATTAATTCCATATGAATTTATAAATTTTTTGGATAAAAATCCGAAATTTATTTTAAAAATTAATAGTGGAACCCACGTCTCGAATCCCGAAAAAACTCGTGAAATCCGAACACCTGTTCCGATACGAGTTCAACCATACAAAAATGATTGAATTCCAACATCGGATTGACTTTCAAATCTTCATTTTACATTTTTGGAAGATTTTATAAAAATATAATTTTTCTTCCATAAATTCACGGATTCATGATGTAATTGAGTATGGAATCATGAAATATAATCAATATAGGATAAGGAACACTTACCCCAATGTTTTCCCGTGAAAATCGCCCAAATATTATCTTACCCGAGCTCAAAATCGAAATGGTTGAAAATGGATCGAAATCCCATTTTCAGAACTTAAGTTCTGTTTGCCCAGATTTTTACTCATCGCGATCGCGTAGAACAATTGCTGCCTAGGTCCATTTTACTCTTTGCGATCGCGAAGCATATTTTGTTGCCCGGAATTTTAACTCTACGCGATCGCGTAAATGGCCATGCGATCGCAGAGAGCATTTTTTCAACCTTACGCGACCGCGTAATGACTTGTGCGATCGCGTAGCACAAATTTGGTGCTTCAGCTTCTGCCTCATTCCTTCTTCGCGAACGCGAAGCACAAAATGTCCCAGTCCAACTTTCCTCTTCGCGATCGCGAAGCACAACGCACCAGATGACAGCAGAAGCTAAAAACTAGATTTTTCTCAAAGTTCAAATGGTCCGTAGGCTATCCGAAACTCACCTGAGCCCTCGGGGCTCCAAACCAAGCATGCACACAAGTCCAAAAATCTCATACGAACTCACTCGCGTGATCTAAACACCAATTTAACACCTAGAATTACGAATCGAATACCAAATCAAATGAAAGTTTTAAGAAAACTTTAAAACTTCTATTTTCACAACCGAACATCCGAATCACGTCAAATCAACTCTGTTTCTCACCAAATTCGACAAACAAGTCATAAATGACATAACGGGCCTATAAAATATTTTAGAACTCGAATCCGACCCCGATATCAATAAAAGTTAATTTGTAGTCAAACTTGGAAATCTTTAATATTTAAATCACTAGCTTCCGTTAAATGGTCATAACTTGAGCTAGGGACCCCCAAATTAAATTTCGGGCATACTCCCAAGGCCTAAATCACGATACAAACCTACCTGAACTGTCAAAACACTGATCCGAATCCGTTTGCTCAAAATGTTGACCAAAGTCAACTCAGTTGAGTTTTCAAGCTCTATTTCATAATTTAATCAATTTTTCATATAAAAACTTTCTTGAAAATTATACGGACTGCGCACGTAAGTCGATGACTGATGAATAGTGCTTTTTCAGGTCTTAGAACACAGAACTAACAATTAAATTTAAATATAACTTTTTGGGTCATCACATTCTCCACCTCTAAAATAAATGTTCATCCTCGAACGGAATTAGAAATGTATCTGAGC